TGCACTCCCAGACTAAGTGCAAAAAGTCTACCCTTCCATGAGGTAGCAGCTCCAGCAGGTTGTGGGGAGGCAGCCACATCCATACCGCCAATCCAAACACCAACGCTGACCATTCTCTATGGCCAGGGTAACATCTACTGAGGCCTGGTATGACTCCTACATCTCTCCAGCTTCCCACAAATCTCTCAGGCAAAATCTCTCTGGCAAATCTCTCAGGCAAAAAGTTCCTCCAGGTCAAAAGAGAAAAATGCAGAATCTTGGAATCTGCATGCCCACACAGACGTCCCTCCATTCCTTGGTATCTCACTAAATTTGGACCAGAAGTATTTTTGTCCAAAGGTTAGTTTCCACCTTTAAGGTATTTCCTTCAGAAAGACCTTTTGTTCTTGACTTAACCCACCATAGGAGACATATTTGGAAAGAGTTTTTAAATTAGAGAAAGCATTACTTCTTAATATTTTTAACTGAACTAAAAAACTAAAAAAGATTTTTAATGTGCTTTTAACTGAACTAAAAAAGAGATTTTTAATATGCTTTCTCACCTCTTAGTGCTCCCTAGCTCAGGTCTACTCTCTTCTGTACAGTAGATGGGGGGGGGGTGTTGATGACACAGTACCATAGACTGACAGATAAAGGACACACATGTTGTCAATGAACAAGGGATAAAGTACATTTGAGAAGATAAAATCTATGTGTAGAGATGAGCAGGCTGAAAGCTAAGCACATTAAGGATCAATGAGTGAGGGAGATTCATGGGACTTCAGTACTCAGAATAGATTTAGGGGAAATGGTCATCTCTCTTTCTCTCAGATATCCAGGAAAACTTCGAGGCTCAGGTAGTCATTGTTTTCCCTAAGAAAGAGACAATAGGAGAGGGGCTTGTTGAATTTGAGGGAAAACTTCCTAACTCCACCTGAAATAAAAGGAATAGTAGTAGTAGAAGCACATTTATCTAGTGCATTTACCAAGTGATACACTGGGAAATATTAGAGAGACAGAGAGACAGAGAGACAGAGAGACACAGACAGACAGGGAGACACAGACAGAGACAGAGAGAGCGAAAGACAGAGAGACAGGAGACAGAGAGACAGAGACAGAGAGACAGAGACAGATAGAGACAGAGAGAGAGTGTTGTGGTGAGTCAACAAAGTAGCTATCATCACAAATTGTTGTCTGTCCTTCGTTTTCTAAGAGGACCAATGACATCACAGGATGTTGTCTTGATTTACACATTAATTGGTTTTAAGAGAGCCAGAGTCACACAAAGTCATCCCAAATGAACTGCCTGTGATGATACAGTATGGCATTGTAGGAAGTGTGCTCTTTTCCTTCATTATACAAGAGACCTGGGTTTGAATCAGGGATGTGCTGGAGCTACCTTTTACTGGCTCAGAAGAGCCTATTGTTAAATTTTTAGCATGACCATTTACACCTCAGAAATAGGCAAACATTACAAATCACAGCTTGATTCATTGCTTTGCTTATTGTCTCTAGACTTGAGAAAGTGATGGAGAAAATGTTAATAATGCAGATTGAACTTAAAAGGGAGTTAAGCAAACTATTTTTATTCCTAAGAGAGCCTATGGTTAAACATTTATCAGGACTGTGTTAGTCTGAATAACTGACTCTGATATTTGTCATGTGACTTTGGGCAAGTAACATTATGTGGCTTCAGTTTCCTCATCTGAAAAATGAGAATAATAATATGCGTACCATCCTCCTTCTTGGGTTTGTTGTGAAGAAAGCAATTTATAGACCTTAAGATGCTAGAGCGTCAGATTTGGAATCAGAAGACCTCGGCTGAAATCCTGACTCTGCCAGTCAGGATTGACTGACTATATGACCTTGGGGGCAACTAGGTGGCACAGTCAAAAAAGCATGGGGGCCTGGGGTCAGGAAGGCTTAAGATCAAATCCAGCCTCAGACATTTATTATCTGTGTGACCCTGGGCAAGTCACTTAACCCTGTTTGCCTCAGTTTCTTCATCTGTAAAATGAGGATAACAATAGCCCCTGCCTGCCCAGGTTGTTGTGAAAAGATAGTAATTGTAAAGTGATTAGCCTGGCATAGAGTCTGCACTATATAAATGTTAGCTATTGTTGTTGTTGTTGTTGTTATATCTTTCTGACTTTTAGCTTCCTCATCTGTTAAAGGAGGTGGTTTAAGTAGCTGCCTCCGGTTTCCTTCCACGTCTAATCCCATGATCCTATGATCTTATGCTATACTGTAGAAACGTGTTATTACCATCTTCATCATCATCATTATTATAGATGAGGGACTAAAATTAAATAGATCAATAAACATTTGTTGAACTAAATTCAAAGGAATTGAATTAAGCACCAAGCCTTTCCTGTTGTCTGTTTGTGTCTAATTCTTTAGGGAACTGGGAAGATTTTGCCACCCCCTCGGAATCTGACGGGCATCTTCAAGTGCCATCTTTCCTCTCTCCTTTTTTGCATCCTTCTGGGTTGGTTTTCGTCACTGGTTGATGTTATCCTTCATTCAGGCCCCACGTTCCCTATTGTTTAGCTCATGAATCATCCATACCTCTTTGCAGAAAGCAACACTGGCTTAACACCTCATGTTGAGTCAGTTTTAACAAAGTACAGACTGAAAATACCGAGAAACAATCACGAAGGTAATTCTTCCTGTACTGAACAGCCAGCTTTTGCATGCAGAAGGGTGGGACCAGGATGAGAATAGGTAGAACAGCGGTCAGGGCCCTGGGCCTGGAGTCAGGAAGTCCAGAATTGGCATCCTGCTTCAGATACTTACTAGCTGTATGACCTGGGCAAGTCTTTTAATCCCTCCCAGCCTCAGTTTCCTCATCTGTAAAATGGGAATAATAATAGCACTACCTCATAGGGTTGTTGTGAGGATCAAATAAGATAACCTATATAAAGCAGTACATAAATGCTAGTGTATAAAATACAGGTGAGTAGAGAAGAAAAAATCCCCCAGTATTCAATGAGGCTGTCTTTGGAGGTAATGTTCACAACCTCAACATGAGGATAGAAGTAAATTAAAGAGGAAACCCTTGGAAACCACCTCATGGTCTGGCAACAGACCATTTTCCCGGTGAAGATCATGTCCCCCTTCAAAAAGATTGACTCTTCTTGCAGAACTAGTTCTTTCTCCTCTCATGTTACCTTGTATCAACTCTATAGGTATTTATGCTCAAGTCATCTCCCCCATTAAAATATATGCTCCTTGAGGGCAGGGACTCTTTTCACTTCTTCTTTGTGAAACTCGAGTTTAATTGGTTGAGATGTGGAAAGGGGTCAGGTGAGTGAATGAGACTAGCTAAGTTACTACTCATCTCTCTCCTTTCTCTCCCCCGACTCCCTGTCTCCATCTTTTCCTGGATGGTTGCCTTGGAGGAGTTGAAACAACCCAGAGGCTTTTGCCCAATGATATTTATAGACTACACCAGATATCAAGGGAATGCCAGATGCCATCTGCATGGATTCAACCCAAGCCTATCCACTGGGGATATCACAGATGAAGGAGATATTGGAATCTTTCCCTCTTCCCTTTCCTTTTTCTATTTGTGTATGAGAGAATGAATTGTATGTGAAGATGTGTATGGTGGGTGGTGATAAAGACAAAATGTGGAGTACAAATGGAAGGGGGGAGAACAAGAGCTGGAATGGTGACACCCATGAAATTCTACACTGGAAGTTTTGCTCTCTTCTGGAATGGGGGAGATGGCACTGAAAGATTGGAGAATCTAAGAGACTCAGCCTCTCCTTGGCTGAGAAACTGCATATGGAGCTGAGGAGAGTCATGAGAAATACCAGGAAGCTGGAAGAAAGTGGTGGGGGGAAGGGAAACCATTCTATCTCTCACTTAAGTCAGCAGAGACCTCAGTCAAACTGAGACCTGTTAAAGACTTTAGCTTGAAAAGACCAAGGTTTCCCACTGCATCCTGGGCTGTCTCCAGTCGTCCTGATCCATATCAAGCCACTGGACCCAGATTGCTCTGAAAGAGAAAGTGAATCTGGTGATTTTGCACAGTCTTCCCTCACTCAAATCCAATTCATTTGCATATCATGGCATCACCTTCCTGATGTCATGGTCCTCTTCCAGACCGAAAGACAAACAGTAGCAGCAACTGCAGCTAGTCAGCAGAGAGCAACAGATGATGACAGGGCTTAGGGATGAGACTCTGCCAAAGGACCATCTTATTTAGGACTGTAAGTGATGGACAGCAGAGTCCAAATTGAAGAGGCTCCCTACAGATGGTGAGGTCCTACAGAGGCCATGATTGGGGAATGACATTGTGCTAACTACATGAAGCCTAAGCAAAGCCTCCTAAACTGATCTATAACTACACAAAAGAGTTTGGTCTAACTATCCATACCAGAAAAACTAAGTGGATGAAGAATGCCTTATTGTCCAGACCAGTTAGAATGACAACCCATAGAACTTATTCATCAGTACATGTCTTAGGAAAACAGTGTTGATGGACAGCAGTAGGAATGTTCAGAAAAGGGAAGGTTTGAAGAATATTGTTTTTGGACTGTTGAATTTGAGTTGCCTACAGGAGTCCAGTCTGTTAAAAAAATAATAGCTGGCATTTACATAGTGTTTTAAGGTTTACAGAATACTTTACATATATTATCTCATTTGATCCTCAAAATCACTGTGTGAGGTTAGTGCAATTTTTATCACCATTTAATAGATGGAGAAACTGAAATTGAAAAGTTAAGTAACTTGTCCAGGGTCACATAGCTAAAAAGTATCTGAGCCAGGATTCAAATCCGGGTCTTTCTAACATCAGGTCTGGCACTATGTCCACTCCACATTCTTATTACCAGTCTGTCTTTGTGAAAGGTACCTTAACTTTTTTGGTTCTCAGTTCTCTCCCAGGTAAATTGAGTGTATTAGATGAGTTGATCTCTAAGACTCCTTTCAGCTCTAAACCCTGTGATCTTGTGGGTGAAATGCGCAAAAAAAAAAAAGGAGAAAAAGGAGGAGGAGGAGAAGGAGAAGAAATGTTCCATGTAAAAAATTCATTTTATTCATATCAAAAAGTGATTCAGAGATACCAGACTGGGCCACTTCGAGTACTTCTGAAGTATGAAGTTACTTCACTTACTCCTCAGCTAATGCAGAAGACTGTGTCCTACCCTCTGTGTTTGGCATCTCCCCCAAGGGCATCTGCTCTACAGACTGTCAGAACTCGTCCTTAATATCAAAATGGGGCTGGTCTTCTGGCTTGAAGTTCCAGTTGGGGCTGCCATCTTCATTTAGGATTCGACGTGCTGTGTAGCCAACAATAGGATATTTGGCTTTGTACACATTAGTGAAGACATCATCCAAGGACTTCAGTTCTTCTGCTGTGAGTCCAGTCTGAGTGAGGAAAAATCCAAAAAGTAAGCGAGTTTAAAGGAAGAGGACTGATTTTTTCACTGGGCTTTCTCCTTTCCTTTTTGCCCTTTCCACAAACCAATTGATAAGGACAGGAAACCTTTTGACAAAACCAGATACAGAAAGTTTAAAAAATAAATGGCCACCCCAGCATATAAGTGGCTGGTATATATAATTTTGGGCTGGATATAAGATGACATTGTTGTAGGGAGTTCCTAATGAGGAAACTTCCTCCACCAATGTAGATTGGCATTTGTTTTACAACTTACAGAGAGGAAAAGGAGGAGGAAAAATTGGAACCAAAGTAAGTTCACAATAAGAAATGGCTGAACAAAGTGTGGCATATCATTGTGTGCAACTGGACTTCAACTAACAGGACAAAATAGAAAGTGCCATTAAAGACCAGCCTGGGGGCTTAAAAGAAATTAGACAGCGGGTACATCCTCTGTTCTGGGTATTATGCCCCTCTTAATGAAGTCTAACATCACAACTTAGACCAATGGCTTAGAGTGAAGCTGGAAAATGAGGGTGAGTATTTTAAAAGTTTTGGAGATGAAGCAAAATTTCTGAAGATGACAGATTTGGAGAAAGGGGTCTCAAAAATGGCTTACAGTATCATGTGTGAGGTCTGCAGGATCCAAAGACATCTTGGCCACCCCTCTTGTGGAGTCTTTCCCAACCAGGGCATTATATGGTGCTCCCCTCCCATAGAACTCTGTACCAAGGAAGAAGAAAGATAAATGAGTGTGGAATTGTTAATAAATGTGCATGTTAAGTGACCTTTGAGGTAAAAAATCATCTTAAAAGGAGATCATCAACCTGGAGGTAGGGAAAACACAATACCCCAAAAGCAATGTGCTAGTGAACATTTTGAACTCTATTGAAATCATAACAATGTCTCATTATTTTATTATTATAGATATTTATGTTGTACTTAATTACTCATATAATGCTTTATATCCATCATTTTGGGTATGGGGTAGTTCAAATGTGCTAGGTTGAGTTTACCTTTGAAACATCTACCAGTCAATAAATCCAAAAGCAGTTATTAAACTTCTACTTATACCAAGTACTGTGTCAAGGGTTGAGGATATAAAAATGAAATAGTTCCTGCCCTCAAGGAGTTTACATTCTAATGGGGAAGAAAACATGTACATACATATGGATATTCAGAATATATCCAAGATAGTTTGGGGTGGGAGGGTACTGGAAGCTAAGGGATAAGTGTTCCTGTAGAAGGTGGCACTTGATTCAAGTTTTAAAGGAGGCTGGAGGTTTCAAGAAGCAAAAGGGAAACGACAGTGAATTCCTGGAATGGGGGAATAGCCAGTGAAAAAGCACAGAGATGCACAACAGAACATAATGTATAGAGAAAATCAAGTAGGTCCTTATGGCTAGATCATAGATTATGTGTAGGGGGCTTAACATATAAGATTTGGAGAGGTAGGGAGAGGTTAGGTTGTGAAGAACTTTAAATCCCTGAAAGAGGAAGTCATATTTGATCCTAAATGTGATAGGGAGTCATTAGAATTTATTGAGTAGAGGAGTGACATGGTCAGACTTATGCTTTAGTCCAGGAAGACTTATATGAACTGATGTAAAGTGAAGTGAGCAGAACCAAGAGAACATTGTAAACAGTAAAAGCAATATTGCAATAATGATCAACTGTGAAACAATTAGCTACCCTAATCAATACAGTGATCCGAGACAATTTCAAAGGACTCATGATGAAAAATACTATCTATATCCAGAGAGAAAACTGATGAACTCTGAGTGGAGATTGAAGTATACTTTTTTCATTTTATTTTTCTTGCCTTTTTTGGTTAATATTGGAAATATAATTTTACAAATAGATTCATCTTCAAATATATCACAAATCATTAACAACATTTCCACTCTATCTAATTGCCTAAAAGTAGATCACATTCTATAAAGCAGCTAGGGGGTGTGGTGGATAGAGAGCTTGACCTGAAGTAGGAATATCTGAGTTCAAATCTTGCCTCAGATATGTACTAGCTGTGTGAACCTAGGCAAGTCACTTAACCTTGTTTGCTTCAGTTTCTTCATCTATAAAATGGGATAATAATAGCACCTACCTCCCAGGATTGTTGTGAGGATTGAATGAGATAATATTTCTAAAGCACTTTTCAAACCATAAGGCACAATATAAATGCTAGTTCTCATTATTAATAATAATCAGACAGTCAAATTGTGCCCCCTTTCTAAGGCAAATATACATACTAGAGCAGATAAGTAAGAATTGACCTGTGTTGCTCAACTCAGAACCTAGTGTGGAAAAAATATTATTTATCATTTATAAATATTGTTTTTTGTGATTAGAAATTGTTGAACCTGAAAACTTACTGTAGAGGTCAGAGACATTCCTGGAGAAGCTGGATGGCTCCAGGAATATTTGATCCTACCCAGGTCTAGGATCTACCAAAAACTTGAGTTTTGAGTTCCCCAAATGTGAATGTTTAAGTTTACATCTCAATCGATCTTAATTTGATGTTAATGCTTACTGATATACATCTCAACGGAGCTCATCAGGGAACAGCCTTATCTACAATATAGTTAACTACTGTGTGGTTATGGATGGTCTGAACCCTATGTGACATAAACCTGGCATTGACTTGACTGAGAATGTTCTGCTCTATCCCCTAACAAATGACCAAATAAATTTCTTTCTGAAACCATTTCAGATTTTGGGGTTCCTCATGACTAGTACTAGCAAAGAATAAAGACTGAGTATGGTCATGGAAGTTAGGAATCATAAATTCTAGCTTACACTTATATGGTACTGATGAGGCAGATACAAGTATTCAAGTCAGATGAAGCAAACAGGATGCAGGATGTGCGATATGAGATAAAGTGCTGCATGTGACCAGCCAGAAAAGTGCTCAAGAGGACTATGCATTAATGCCCCCACCTCGAACTTCTCTGCGTGCCTTCACAAAGCATCCCCAACTACCAGACATTCCACAACAGTTCTTCCCCTTCCCTTTCCTGATATTCCAGGCATTCCAGAGCTGTGTTTCCCCCCCCAACCTTCTCCTGTTCCCCCTTCCCCCATGTCAAACTATATATAGACCAGACACCTGACCTGGCAAACTGCTCTACTCCCACGGGGAGCAGGGCCTGCTGGGTGCTCTGGCCTCCCATAAGGAGCAGAATCCGCTGGGCGCATCACCCCCAATAAACACCTTTATTTAATTTGGAGATGGTGTCAGTGAATTCATTCAAGACACCATGACCCATGTGTCTGTTTCTCATCATTCTGGTGTACTCCAACATTTTGGGATGTCCCCTGAACCTCAATAGTACTTTATAATTACACAGAAGCTTTCATGATCATTACCACAATTACCCTATGAGGTAAGCAGGGCAAATACTACTAACATTCCCATTCTATAGATGAGGAAAATGGTGGTGAGATGGAGTAACCTGCCCATAATCACACAGCTAGAAGAACTCAAGTCTCCAGATTCCCAGGTTTTGTCCTCTGAACTACAAGTAGTTTCCCAACTCTTCTGTTGATTCTGTCCTCCAGCCCCCTCCCCCTTCTTCCTGCATCTCCCAAACTTCTCATGAAAAGAGAAAATTCAAGGAACTATACAACTTACCCTTTCCAGAAGTGACATCAAATACTACTCCTTTCACTGCCAGGTAAATGGGCTGGTCTTCCTAGAAGGCAAAGAGAAGGGGTGAGAATATTTTCCTGGAAAATCTGAGGAGCAAATAGAGAGTCTCAAAAGGTCTCACACCTCTATTGGCTAGGTACTGGCAATCACTTTATTCAGTACTCACCGTGTATGTATGGAATTCAATATAAGTATAACCAAGTCTCTCTTCTTAAGGAATTTAATTCTAATCAAGGAGATCTCACACATACACATGTATCCAGAATGATTAAAAAATAAAAGAGATGTAGCCACTGAGTCTCTGACAGTGGTTTTTGAAAGATCATGGAGAATGGAGAAGGTACTATAGGCCTGGAGAACGACAAATGTCTTGATTTTCAAAAAGGGAAAGACACATGAGGCTGCAAACTATTGACTATGGAGTTTAACTTTGCTTTCTGGAAAAGTTCTAGGCAATATTATTACAGGATTGACTAATGGACACCTAGAGGGAAAAGTGATGGTCGTAAGGAGGTGGCATGACCAACCTCTGGGCAGCTAGGTTGGGCAGTGGTTAGAGTGTCAGAAAGACTCCTTCCTGAGTTCAAATCTGGCCTCAGACACTTACTAGTCAAGTGACCCTGGGCAAGTCACTTAACCTGTTTGCCTATAATGGATATAAAGTATTCTATGAGTAATTAAGTACAACCTAAATGAGGCATCATTATTATTTTACTAGAGTTCAAAATGTTCACTAGTACATGGCTTCTGGGGTGTTGTGTTTTCCCCACTTCCAGGCTGATGATCTCTCTTTTAAGATGAGTTTTTGCCTCAAAGGCCACTCACCATGCACATTTATTAACAGTTCCATACTCACTTAGGCTTACCTGGGTGTGGGAACTCCTGTTCAGGAAGCTGGAACTGTCTAGTAAGGAGTTACTTGAGACACATAGAGATTAAATGGCTTCCCAAGGGTTACACTGAAGGTAAACACAGGAGAAGGAAATGGAGGAAAGCTAGGCAGCCCAGTGAATTAAGCACCGGGCCTGGAATCAGGAAGACTCATCTTCATAACTTCAAAGCTGGCCTCAGACACTTACTAGCTGTATGACCCTGGGCAAGTTACTTAACCTTTTTGCCTCAGTTCCTCATTTGTAAAAATGAGCTGGAGAAAGAAATGGCAAACCACTCCAGTATCTCTGCCAAGAAAACCCCAAAAGAGGTCACACAGAGTCAGACACGACTGAAATGGCCGAACAGCAACAAGCAAAGGTGGTGGAAGTAGAATCCAGGTCTTCCTAACTTCAAGTCCAGTATTCTATCACCTATGCCATACTGCCTCCAGGAAAGTTATTGATCATGGAGTGCCCAAGGGAACTGTCCTTGGTCCAAGCGGTTTAAATTTTTTTTTCATGCTTGGGTAAAGACATCAATAGTATGTTTGTCAAATTTATTTATGGCATAAAGCTCAGAGAGATAGTGAACATGTTGGATGACATAATCAGAATTCGAAAAGATTTCAAGAGTTTGGAACGTTAGATCAAATTTAAAAAGAACAAATGTAAAGTCTTCCACTTGGGTTCAAAATGGGATGCTGGGGTGGCTATGAGGACCCATAGTGGTGACTGTAATGATCATTTTAGAGGTAAGAGAACCAGGCAACCAAGATAAGAGGGCTTCAATGCCATGTCATACAAGTGAAGGGAACCTGGAGAAGTAAAGTCCTAAGAAGAACATGATAACAGTCTTCAGGTATTCAAAGGGCTATCACTTGGAAGAGGGATTAGCTGTGGGGTTTGTCCTAAAGGGGAAAATTAGAAGCAATGAGTGCTTGATACAGAAACACAGATTTAGGCTCAGTCTAAAGAAAAACTTGTTAACAATTCAAGCTATCCAAAAATAGAATGGGTTGCCTTAGAGGTTGTGAGCTTCTTTTCTCTAGAGGTCTTCAAAGACGGATGATCACTTGTTGGGGATGAGGTGAATGGGATTCTTGCTTAGGTATATGTTGGACTAGGTGACCTTGAGATCTCTTCCAACTCAGAGATTCTGTGATTCTGAAGGTAATTGAATTCTCTAATCAACTGAGACTTACCTATACCATCTATATATTTCAAAGATCTTAGATACAGGCACATTTGTTTTCTATAAGGATAAGAAATGTTTAACTTCTTATTTAACCTTCACATCACTTTAACTTTGCATTTTATATTGTTTGTGTCTAGTAATTTCTCTAAATTTTTGGGCAGCTAGGTGGTGCTGTGGACAGAGTACCAGGCCTGAAGTCAGGAAGATTCATCATCTTCCTGAGTTCAAATCTGGCCTCAGCCACTTACTAGCTGAGTGACCCTGGGCAAGTCTCTTAACCCTGTTTGCCTCAGTTTCCTTATCTGTAAAATGAGCTGGAGAAGGAAATGGCAAACCATAGTATCTTTGCCAAGAAAATGCCAAATGGGGTCATGAAGGAGTTGGACAAAACTGAAAACAACTCAACAAAATTTCCTCTAACTTCTTAGTCCAAGATTGATGTTTTTGTACCTGGATACTTTCCTTAAGATTAGCATTGCTAGGACAGGAAACAGTGTAGTGAAAAGAGCCCTGGAATGGGAGTCAGCAGACCTTAGTTCCATCTTAGCTCTGATACTAAACAGCAGAGAAGCCAAAGTCTTTGGGCATCAGTTTCTTATCTGTAAAATGTGGGGATTGGACTAGAGGACCTCTAAGGTCCGTCTGAGCCCTAGTATTTTACGAAAATGATTAAAGTTGAGAACACCTGAGAGTGAAAAAGTAATTATAGTGGGGTTAAGTCAGAAAGCTTCCTGCCGGAGTTTGAGCTTGTGAAATTGATATAAATTAGGAGCAAAGCAGCAGGAGAAATGATAGGCAAAGAAAATAAGGCAATGTGGGCCTTTATCAGGGGCACAAATTGCATAACTAGGGCCATATGGAAGAATATTAAAAACAAGTTTTTAGTTCAACTGGAAATAATATTTCTAAAGTTCTCTGCAGACTTTTTCCTTTATAAAAGTGTGCAAAAGGTCCAGCATAATAGCTGACATGCCAGTGAATAGATCAAGAGAGGTAACCCAACTTAGAGCAAGAAATACTTCTTGCCTATCTATCTAAGATCACTGCCTTTCTTTCTTCCCCTGAAGGGATCAGAGTATGGACCCATCTTATGGCAGGTCTTTCTTTTCCCATTTCCTGAAAGAATTAGGGTATTGATCTTAGGGAGGAGGTTCCTTTGACTATTTCAGGTGGAGCTGTGGATAGAACACTAGACTTGGAGTTAGAAGAACAAAACTGGAATCCTGCCTCAGACACTTAACTGTTTGTTGTTCAGTCATTTCAGTCCTATCTGACTGTCTGTGACCCCATTTGGTGTTTTCTTGGCAAAGATACTGGAGTGGTTCGCCAATTCCTTTGCCACCCCACTTGATAGATGAGGAAACTGAGGCAAACAAGATTAAATGACTTGCCCATGGTAACACAGCTAGTAAGTGTCTGAGGACAGATTTGAACTCGGGAAGATGAGTCTTCCTGACTCTAGACCTGGCATTCTATGCACTGTGGTGCCACCTAGCAGTCCCACTTACTAGCTGCATCACCTCTGTGGCAAATCCCTTACCCTTTCTTAGCTTCAGTTCATCATCTTTAAAATGGCGATAACAATAGCATGTACTTTTCAGGGTGGTTGTGAGAATCAAAATGAGTTAACATATGTAAAGTGCTTTGCAACTACATAAATGCTAGCTAATGTTATTTAGCTTGTCCTGTCTTAGGAGAAGCCCTTGAGGAAAGTGGTCAAAGAAGGAGAAATAATTTTAGGAGAATGGTTCTACAGATATGTTCCCCCAAAAGATTAAGTGATGGTCAGATGAGGTACGGACTGGACTGGTCCGAGGGCCGCTGCATGGCCAGGACCAACCATGATGGTGGCTGCCAAGGAAGCATCTCCACAGAGAATGTGGATGACTCAAACTATGATCTGCTGCTTGAGCCCATAGTATCTCTCCCTGAGCAGGAAATTAAGATTCTTGAAGAAGATGAAGAAGAACTCTTTAAGATGCGAGCCAAGCTGTTCCGATTTGCCTCTGAGAATGACCTTCCAAAATGGAAAGAGCGAGGGATGGGTGACATGAAGCTGCTGAAACACAGGGAGAAAGGGACCATTTGCCCTCCCATGAGAAGGGACAAAACTCTGATGATCTGTGCAAATCACTATTTAACACTATTGATAGAGCTGAAGCCCAACGCAGGCAGTGACATGGCCTGGGTCTGGAACACACATGCTGACTTTGCTGATGAAAGTCCCAAGCCTGAACTGCTGGCCATTTGATTCCTAAATGCAGAAGATGCCCAGAAGTTTAAGGCAAAGTTTGAAGAATGCAGGAATGATATAGAAGAAAGAGAAAAGGGAGCAGGAGCAGGCAAAGAAAACACTGACAAAGTGGTGGAGAAGCTGTCAGAGCTGTTGGTGATGGAGAAGGGCAAGGAAGACAGCCAAGAGCTCTGAGGCACACGAGGAGACCAAGGACCAGGATGTCACTGCAATAAGTCATCTCGTGGCCTCGCCTTCTTTCCTCTTATTTTCTTTATTTTTGTTTCTTTTTTTTTTTTATAAGGGACTTTATATATAGAACTGAATTCCAGCCTCCAGGTTGTTTTCTAAGCTTTTACCCTTTAGAAGATGTCTTTAGCAAACCCATTCCCAGTCACATGTACTGTGCTCATAACATTCTTTTCCATAGTGGAAACACTTATTTATAGTACATTCAAAAAAGTGAATAAAACATTTGAAAGCTGCCTCCAAAAAAAAAAAAAGATTAAGTGAGTATTGTTCTGTCAAAAGAAGTTAACCCCAAACTTTTTTTTAAAATCCTCCTGTGACCTTTTCCCTTGTTCAAGATTTCTTTTAAAGTTATTTCAAATGGTATTAGAGATATGTCCAAAGACACAGAGGGATTATTCCAGTTTGAACACTTCTTTCTCTAAGCTAACCATGTTTGGATGTAGAATAATGTGAAATTAATTTTTAAAAATTGTGTCTGGCATGTCTAAAAT